TGCTGGTGTAAGTGGTAGAAGTGACAACAACAACAACAACAACAGCAGCAGCAGCAGCAGCAGCAGCAGCAAGCAGCAGAAGTTTGTTGTTGTTGTGTTGTTGTGTTGTTGTTGTTGTTGTACAGGATAGGCTGGAGCAGACAGGAACTAGAAAATATCCAGTGTCATATTCTAGGTATAACTTACAGGTGTAACTTGCTGGTGTAATTTTCAGGTGTAACTTGGTGTAACTTGCTGGTGTAACTTGCAGGTGTAACTTTCTGGTGTAATTTGCAGGTGCAACTTACTGGTGTAATTTGTAGGTGTAACTTGCAGGTGTAACTTGGTGGTGTAACTTGCTGGTGTAACTTGCAGGTGTAACTTTCAAGTGTAACTTGCTGGTATAACTTGCAGGTGTAACTTGCAGGTGTAACTTGCCGGTGTAACTTGCTGGTGTAACTTGCTGGTGTAACTTGCTGGTGTAACTTGCTGGTGTAACTTGCAGGTGTAACTTGCTGGTGTAACTTGCTGGTGTAACTTACTGGTGTAATTTGCAGGTGCAACTTGCAGGTGTAACTTGGTGTAACTTGCAGGTGCAACTTGCAGGTGTAACTTGCACGTGTAACTTGTAGATGTAACTTGTGAAACTTGCAGGTGTAACCAGTAGGCGTAACTTACAGGTGTAACTTGCAGATGCAACTTGCTGGTGTAACTTGCAGGTGTAACTTGCAGGTGTAACTTGGTGTAACTTGCAGATGTAACTTGCTGGTGTAACTTGCAGGTGTAACTTGCAGGTGTAACTTGGTGTAACTTGCAGATGTAACTTGTAGGTGTAACTTGCTGGTGTAGCTTGCAGATGTAACTTTTAGATGTAACTTGCTGGTGTAACTTGCAGGTGTAGCTTGCAGATGTAACTTTTAGATGTAACTTGCTGGTGTAACTTGCAGGTGTAACTTGCAGATGTAACTTGCAGGTGTAACTTGGTGTAACTTGCAGATGTAACTTGCTGGTGTAACTTGCAGGTGTAACTTGCAGGTGTAACTTGGTGTAACTTGCAGATGTAACTTGTAGGTGTAACTTGCTGGTGTAGCTTGCAGATGTAACTTTTAGATGTAACTTGCTGGTGTAACTTGCAGGTGTAGCTTGCAGATGTAACTTTTAGATGTAACTTGCTGGTGTAACTTGCAGGTGTAACTTGCAGATGTAACTTGCAGGTGTAACATACAGATATAACTTGCAGGTGTAACTTGGTGTAACTTGCAGGTGCAACTTGCAGGTGTAACCAGTAGGTGTAACTTGCAGGTGTAACTCGCAGGTGTAACTTGTAACTTGCAGATGCAACATATTGGAGTAACTTGCAGGTGTAACTTGCAAGTGTAACTTGCAGATGCAACTTGCTGGTGTAACTTGCAGGTGTAACTTGCAGGTGTAACTGGCAGATGCAACTTGCAGGTGTAACTTGCAGGTGTAACTTGCAGGTGTAACTTGCAGGTGTAACTTGCAGGTGTAACCTGCTGGTGTAATTTGGTGCAATTTGGAGGTGTAACTTGCAGGTGTAACTTGCAGATGTAACTTGTTGTAACTTATAAGTGTAACTTGCTTGTGTAATTTGCAGGTGTAACTTGGTGTATCGTGCAGATGTAACCTGTAGGTGTAACTTGCAGGTGTAACTTGCAGGTGTAAGTTGCAGATGTAACTTGCAGGTGTAACTTGCAGGTGAAACTTGTAGGTGTAACTTGCTGGTGTAACTTGCTGGTGTAACTTGCTGGTGTAACTTGCAGGTGTAACTTGCAGGTGTAAATTGTAAGTGTAACTTGCAGGTGTAACTTGTAATTGTAACTTGCAAGTGTAACCTGCAGGTGTAACCTGTAAGTGTAACTTGTAGGTTTAACTTGCAAATGCAACTTGCAGGTGTAACTTGCAGGTGTAACTTGCAGGTGTAACTTGCAGGTGTAACTTGAGGGTGTAACGTGCAGGTGTAACTTGCAAGTGTAACTTGCAGGTTTAACTTGTAGGTGTAATTTGTAGGTGTAACTTGAGGGTGTAACTTGCCGGTGTAACTTACAGGTGTAACTTGCCAGGTTAACTAGAGTACTTTTACGAAAATACTGCAGAAGACTTGAGAAAATATACAGAAGAGTGTTAGAGTGCATGTATTGATTAAGATGTACTCAGTATTTCTTACTGTATTAAAGGCGTAAGAATGTATTAAGTGTAACAGAGTGTATTCAGGTTGAGAGAGCGTTTACGATGAATGAAAGTGTGTGTGTGTGTGTGTGTGTGTGGTGTGTGTGTGTGTGTGTGTGTGTGTGTGTGTGTGTGTGTGTGTGTGTGTGTCTGTGTGTGTGTGTCTGTGTGTGTGTGTCTGTGTGTGTGTGTCTGTGTGTGTGTGTCTGTGTGTGTGTCTGTGTGTGTGTCTGTGTGTGTGTGTGTATGTATGTATACATATATATATATATATATATATATATATATATATATATATATATATATATATATATATATATATATATATATATATATATATGTATATATATATATATATATATTTCTTTCTTTCAACACATTGGCCGTATCCAGGTGGGGTGGCCCAAAAGGAAAAACGAAAGTTTCTCCTTTTACATTTAGTAATATATACAGGAGAAGGGGTTACTAGCCCCTTGCTCCCAGCATTTTAGTTGCCTCTTACAACACGCATGGCTTACGGAGGAAGAATTCTGTTCCACCTCCCCATGGAGATAAGAGGAAATAAACAAGAGCAAGAACTAGAAAGAAAATAGAAGAAAACCCAGAGGGGTGTGTATATATATGTTTGTACATGTATGTACAGTGTGACCTAAGTGTAAGTAGAAGTAGCAAGACATACCTGAAATCTTGCATGTTTATGAGACAGACAAAAGGCACCAGCAATCCTACCATCATGTAAAACAATTACAGGCTTTCGTTTTACACTCACTTGGCAGGACGGTAGTACCTCCCTGGCTGGGTGGTTGCTGTCTACCAACCTACATATATATATATATATATATATATATATATATATATATATATATATATATATATATATATATATATATATATATATATATATATATATATATATATATATATATATATATATATATATAAAATATATATATAATATATAATATATATATATTATATATATATATATATATATATATATATATATATATATTATATATATATATATGCAAAACAACCACTTTGAAAGAATAGAGAAATTCCAAGCGCTTTCGTGACTACTCACATTATCAAGGAACTAGTTCCTTGATAATGTGATAGTCACGAAAGCGTTTGGAATTTCTCTATTCTCTCAAAGTGGTTGTTTTGCATATTCTGAAATCACCTGTTTACTGTGATCTTATTGCATATATATATATTATAATATATATATATATATATATATATATTATATATATATATATATATATATATATATATATATATATATATATATATATATAATATATATATATATATTATATATATATATATATATATATATATATATATATATATATATATATATATATATATATATATATAATATATATATATATATATATAATATATATATATATATATATATATATATATATATATATATATATATTATATATATATATATATATATATATATATATATATATATATAATATATATAGTCATTAACAGAACTGCAGCTTGGCCAGGATTCGATCCTGCGTTCCCATGCCAAGCCCTGGGTGAAATGAACACCGTACGCATCACTTATACATTGGACCACCATACTTAAACACCAAGGACCCAGCAGTACTGAACGTGTTATCCCTGATGCAAGGACGTGCCCAGGGCTGGACATGGGAACGCAGGATCGAATCCTGGCTAAGCCGCAGTTCTGTTAATGATTCAAAATCACTTGTTTCGTGATTTCATTTATATATAGACTGCTCGTGAGGGCTGGTACACCAAACAGGATGAGGCTGAAATCTGTCTTTGACCAGGAATGTTCTTGCATCAGGGATAACACGCTCAGTACTGCTGGGCACCTGGTGTTTAAGGATGGTGGTCCAATAGATAGTGATGTGTACTAGGTTCAGTTCAACCAGGGCTGGGCATGGGAACGCAGGATCGAATCCTGGCCAAGCTGCAGTTCTGTTAATGATTCGAAAACACTTGTTTCGTGATTTCATATATTATATATATACTTAGGGTGTAGAGGGAGTAGCAAAGATGTAGGACAGTAGAGGTGACAGACGGGGCAGCAGCAGAATGAAGATAGCGTGTGCAATGGCAGGTTGCAGGCCGGGATATATATACGTCAATATGTGGGCAAATGTAGGACAGAGGTAGGGCGGGGTTCAGGCCACCCGCCCCCGGGGAAGAGGAGTGTTAGGGCGGACCTTTTTTTCTTACAGGCTGCAGGTCGATATAGGTGCCAGAATGCAGGCCGGGCTGCAAGTTGGTGTGAAAATGGTTTCTACGACTGACTATGTAGGGTAGGCCGAGATTGGCAGGACGGTAAGATATTCAGGGTGGATTTCTTACAGGCTGACATAGTTTCCAGTGTATATTAGTTAAGGGAACTTATGCAGAAACCTAAGGTAGGCCGGAGTAGGTGAGCTGAAAATGTTGGTATAGGCTGTTAAGCTGAGAATGTGAAGCCTAGTGAAATAGGATAAGACAGGCGCAGGATAACAGTTTGTAGGTCAGTGTGGCAGTTTGGACACAGGATAAGACACAAGTAAACTAGCAGTTTGTAGGTCAGTGTGCAGACCAAGAACATATGCCTAGACAGAGGCTTAGGTACGGGTCAGAAGACTTAAACCAGGATGAAGGTTAAGATTTAGGCTAAAGCCAGGATGCTAGGATGGCCGAGGGACCCTAAGAGAAGGCTGAAGCGCCGATAAAGCCATGAAAGCAGACTCAATGACAGCCAGGCAGGCCAGGGTGTAGGATAGACCACGCAGACCACAAAATGGCCTGCAGGGAAGTAGACCACCGCTTAATAAGCTCACCTTGGGCATGTTATCCGTGGTCCAGCGTGATCTGATCAGTCAGGGAAGACTCTCCCATGACTAGAAATTCATGGTGGCGAGGTTGCTCTGCCTCCTCCTCTCCTCCAGGACCCTCTCCTCCTCTACTCCATCACCATCAAACTCTACTCTAAACTCCAACACAGTTTTTCACTAACCCACTAATTTCCAGCTAGGAATGGAGGCAAGACTCGAGTCCTCTGTAAAAAAAAAGACCACCGAGGGGTGTATCTATTTTAGTAATAGCTTATTTACCACATTCTGAGGCCATTATGAGGTTTATGCACATAAACATCGTAACAGTCTTACGGAAAAGGGTAAATTATGAGGTATTACCAATGTTACCACTAGGCAGACGGCCTGTAGCAAGTCCTCACTGGTCTAAAGTCAAGCTCACAATGGAGCTGCTCAATGTTTGGCAGCGAGTTGCCAGGAGTGGCTCAGCAGTTGTCGTACCGCACCATACAAATTCATCCCACGTAAAATCTACTAAACGATCTTTCCAGAAGGAAGCGGGCAGTATGGATTCATATCCTCCGTATCGTGGCAAACTTTCATCTAATATATAATACCGAAAGGGTGTTTCCTTCCCCTATGTGCATTTTCAAAAAAGGAGACATAGATTTATTGAAGCAATAAAACATCGTGCAGAGGCAGCGTGCCATAGGGAGGGAGGGGGAGGCGGACGTATGAGCACTGCGCAGCGCCATTGCGCAGTTGCAAGTCTCCACCCATGGAGGTCCATTACACAATATTTTTTTGGGGAGGAGGGGGGGGGACCAAATTTCAGTTTTCAGGCATATACAATGGGACTTATTGCAGTGAACACGCAAGTGTGATTTTCTTGACACCTGATCCATGCATCTGTTAAAGAGTACAGTGGCACATATATATATTACAAAGATTAATGTTATTAGTATTTTGTTAATAAATAATATTACTAGTAATTTCTTTATTACTCATATAGTATTATAAAATTTATATGTCGTCCCGAATAGGTAAAACTTGCGATTTTGGCTTAAATAGTAATGCTCTTCTTGCCGAATAAGACAAGCGAAAATTTGTGTATGCAATAATTTCGCAAAAAATCATTCTGAACCTAACGAAAAAAATATATTTCACTGTGCTGGTTTAATATTAAATCACTATAAACGTTTCTAAAATATATTTAGTTGGATTAGGCTAAATTAAACTGCGTTTGTTGTACTGGGTGAGGTAAGTTTTCTAAGGTTCTTTTGTCACAAAATTATTAATTTTTACATTAACATAAATGATAAAAAATATCTTTAAACGTATAAGAGAAAATTATAGAAAGGACTTAATTTTAAATGAATTCTTGCTAAGTGACCAATTTTATCTATTCGGCACGACTATATAAATATATATATATATAATATATAATATATATATATATATATATATATATATATATATATATATATATATATATATATATATATATAATATATATATATATATATATATAATGAATTCTTGCTAAGTGACCAATTTTATCTATTCGGCACGACATATTATATATATATATATATATATATATATATAATATATATATATATATATATATATATATATATATATATATATATATATATATATATATAATGTTGCTGGTGAGGATCCTGATTCAAGTTGGAGCTACGCTCCCTTGGGTAAAACTAATCTCCTATTCATCAGGCGATGTGTGACCCCCTATGGGTTTAGCACTTTCCCATGAATATAATAATAATAATAATAATAATAATAATAATAATAATAATAATAATAATAATAATAATAATAATAATAATAATGCACTAGCCACACTGAGCCTATAAAACAATTTAATGATCTACTGACGCTAAGAAAAATTACCTTAGAAACAAGGTCTATATGCTCATTATAATTTATATACATTATCGATACGCATGATTTATATGCATGATTTACGCACACTATTTTTCACATGATTTATTGACATGGATTAAAATATTTTATATCAAAATTTAACAATGACAGAAAGTTCCGGAAAATACTTATAACATCAAGTATCTATCAATATTAAAATCGGACTCATGTAAGACAGTCTACTGTAAGTTATGGCAAGATCAATGTTTTGTTGTTAATAGTTACAACAGAGATCTTAGACTGAAGAAAAACTAGTTAAAGAATATTTTGTTCGTTGACCTCAGGTGCTGTATCCTCGTCCCTGTGTGTGTGTGTGTGTGTGTGTGTGTGTGTGTGTGTGTGTGGTGTGTGTGTGTGTGTGTGGTTGTGTGTGTGTGTGTGTGTGTGTGGTGTGTGTCTGTGTGTGTTGTGTGTGTGCTTGATGTGTGTAGTGGTGTAGTGTTGATATAGTATGTATAATATTAGTGTGTGTGCCGTGTCTTAAGATTTGTGTGTTGTGTGTCAGAAAGTCAACTTAACGTATGTTCTTTGTCAATCATTCAATAGTTAGAAAACTGCGAGGGAATAATAGCACTGATTCAGCATTTGTAAGCCTTTACTGAGGACGTTTACACACATGGCTTTTCATCCAGAATTGAAAAAGAGTGAAGATCGGAGGAAATAGGTAATCAGTCTCAATCAGTCAAACGATCAATGTATCAGTCAATATCTGATTGCATTGATGGATCTGAACTCGTACTTTCACTAGAGAAACTGATTAACAATATCCTCCTCATCTGATTACCGTTCTTCTGTATTGGACTGAAGAAGCCACTGGCTTGCGAAACGTTTCCTCATAACATTGTAAGTGTTGCACAAGTGGTCTCATGTTGTGTTCACAGAAATTTTAGTCTTGGAATCTTCTACACTGACACAGTGTACATCGGATCAGCATGACAGATACAACTACACAGTATGTCACTTACTGCACTGATCATTAATACAACTGTACACAGTAGTACCAGACTCAGCACTGACAGACTACAACTGACACATTAATTACACGACTCAGCACTGACACTACAACTGCCTTCAGTCAGTACACGATCAACACGACAGAATACACTGACAAGTAGGTAATCATCCAGCACTGACAGAACTCAATTAACTGACACAGTTAGTACACGACTGCAGACACTGACAGAATCAACTGAACAGTAACACGACTCACATCTGCACCAAATACAACTGACACAGTAGTTACCCGATCAGCACATGAACAGGCTTGCAAATTCCTAACAGTATTACAACGACTCAGCAATGACCAGCACTACAACTAGACACAATATAACGACTTCACACTGACAGACTATAACGACACAGTAGTACACGACTACAGCACATGTACAGACTACAACTGACACAGTAGTACACGACTCAGCACTGACAGACTACAACTGACACAGTAGTACACGACTCAGCACTGACAGACTACAACTGACACAGTAGTACACGACTCAGCACTGACAGACTACCCAGACGAAGTCCCTCGACTTCTCAAGGTCTTGAATGATGCCCAGAAAGCAGTCGCACTTAAAGGTGAACCTAAGGGACTGACCCACTTATATCATATCCCCATGGTAAAGGAAATGATGCTCAGTTGAGCACTCGCACACTGACTGCTGTATGTACAGCGCATGTGTGGAGAAGAGTTCTCATCCCAGCCATCTTCAGTGATGGTATTAATGAGGAATTGAATTCCCTGAGGAATAAACCTCTCATCTTAGTACCTAAGATGTTACGTAACGTTCTGCTATTGATTACAGGACACTCAACGCAACAACACTACCACTATAGATTTCCATTGCCAGGACTAAATAGTTTATTTCAGATTCTTGAAAATTATTTTTTTATTTTAACTTTTTTTACTTATTCTGGCAAATTTCACTTGATAAATGGCAGCATTCTCCACGCGTCAGGTCACTACCAGTTCCCTCAAATTACCTGCGGATTATGATCTGGTCCGATTATGTTCTGTAGACTATCACCATAATATTCTATATCCTCTTGGGTAATATCCTCATAATATATCTGTGGACGATGTGAGTGCAATGTTCCATGATGTATCATACATCGTAAAACTTGAGAAGGTACTGAGTAATTTTTTCAAGGCTAAACTATGTCAAATTAGTTAAATGCCAGCTTATTAAGATGCAAATTAAATTTCTTCGTCATGTGGTGGCCTTCATCAGAGGAACGAGTTAATAGTCAAAATTTGCTGTAGTTCAGAAGCTCATTAGACACGCGTCTGCAGATGCAGTACATTTCTTCATTGATTTAAGTGAATTTTACAGCCCGTTCATTGCTAATGTATCTTATTACTGCGTCACTTACTCATCTTGAGAATAAAATCCTATTTTAATGGATTTACAGTTAATTAAAAATAGGGAATTCTTAATGACTAATTCTTAATTGCCTCTCTTTATCATAGAGTTCTCTTTGGCTGCCGATGCCAGCAAATTTTTATCAGTGCAATCTTGTCTCAAGATACCATTGCGTACACAACATAGCTTTTTGCTAATAGAGTAACAAATCTAAATGGACTTTGTAACCAAGCGAGAGGCCTTTGCTATATTTTAGGCCCTTTATTGTTCAATATTACCTAATCAAGAGCTTTCAAGAAAGCATAATCCATAACGTTCAGTGGCTACAACCCAACCAGTCAATGCGTTCCAGATAAGCAAAATATAGTCGCTGATGTTATGTCTATGTCTACCTCAATGTGAAGACCTGAATTAGTCACTTGTTATGTTCTTGACCAAAGAGGATGCCAACCTGTGACTCAAACAGCCTGTGACTGTGGGGGACTTTGTTATTAATTAAGGTGTGGCGTATCAAGTAACCAGACTAGTAGATCCTGGTCCATGTGTTCACCAGTTGGGGATCTTCAGGTCCTTGGTACTTGGAGCAGGAAATTAATCCTTGAAGTATCAGGTATCACTCGTCTAGGAAAAATTAGTAGTATTAAACAAGTCAGAATGTAATACTCTTGGCCTAAAATGTCAAAAACATAAGAATGTATAAAAATTAGAAACTTAACTACAGCGTAAAGGTGTGGTAAGAGTTCCAACCTTATTCTGTAGTATCTTCTCACACAGAAGCCGTATGTTGACTTATTGACGAATTTCTTGATTTCGGAGAAAAGCGGCGATTAACACAGGCCTTTTGAAAGTTGATAACTTCTCTCATTATTACGAACCCGTTTCTGTTCCTGACAAAGCTACCGAGACAGTAGCTGATGCATTCGGAGAAAAAATAATTGTTCTTCACACTTGTTTTCGAGTTCTTCTGTCAGAAAAGGTTGTGGGTTTTCATACGCAAGTTCAAAGAAGCTTTGCCTCAGGATTAGTTTAAGCCCAGCGTCTGTGACTACACATAATCTAGCGAGCTACCATCTTGCTGAAGATAATAATCGGAAATCCTCGAAGTATTGTTGATTGCGCTCAACCCTGAGAGTACT